AGTCCTTTAAGTGTCCAGCTTCGGCTCAGGTCATGAGCTCATGGTTCATGGGTTCGAGCCCCACGTCGGGCTCTGTGCTGACAGCTAGCTCAGAGCCTGGAGCCTGCTTCAGATTCTGTATCTCCCTCTCTCCCTGACCCTCTCCTGCTCACACTGTCTGTCTCTCTCAGAAATAAATAAAAAAATAAAAGTTTTAATTATCAGAGTTTTTATTTCATCCATAGCCTTCTAGGTATTGAGCAGATAATGGTTGTTTTTTTTAATTTCCATTTTAGTAAATTTTCATTTTATCTAATCCCAGACCATATTCAGATTTCTTTAGTTGATCCAGAAATGTCATTTACAAATGATTAGTCCAAACCTCTGTGCAGTTCAGGAACACAGATTAATTATATCAGATTATTTTGTCCCTTGAGTCCCTTAATCTCTCCACTACATTTTATGTTGCTGATTTGTTCATGACACTGGGCCAGTTGCCTGCAGAATATCTCACCTTATAGATTTGTCTAGTTGCTTCCTTGCTGTTATTAGCTCATTTTATTATTTCTAACAATAAAATGACCTGCAGCTTTTTCTAAAACACACTTCTTTATATAAACTTCATGATATTTGTTAGCCACATAATGAAGGTTAAAACTTTCTTAGCTCAAAAAAAAAAAAAACAAAAAAAAACTTTCTTAGCTCAATATATAGTAACCCTCAGAATTTGTCATCTTTGCCTATTCTCCCACTGTTCCTCCAGCCAAAGCTATGTCCTGGTCTGAGACACAAATAGAAATAGGTAATGATTGGGGCGCCTGCGTGGCTCAGTCGACTAAGTGTCTGATTCTTGATTTTGACTCAGGTCATGATCTCTCGTGGGATCAAGCCCTGTGTTGGACTCTGAGATGGGCATGGAACCTGCTTGGGATTCTCTCCCACCCCCCACACCTCTTCCTCTGTCTCCCTCCCTCCCTCTGCCTCTTTCCCCAGCTTGTACTTTCTTTCTCTCTAAAGTAAAACTAAAAAAAAAGAAAAAAGAAAAAAAAAATCGGTAGTGATTAAGAATGTAGACTTTGGAGCCAGAATCCTTGTATTTAATTTCTTTTAATACTTACTTTTTTTGAGAGAGGGAGACAGAGTGCAAGGTGGGAAGGGGCAGAGAGAGAGGGAGACACAGAATCCGAAGCAGGCTCCAGGCTCTGAGCTGTCAGCACAGAGTGGGACCTGGGGCTCAAACCCATGAGTCGTGAGATCATGACCTGAGCCAAAGTTGGACGTTTAACCAGTTGAGCCACCAAGGCGCCCCCAGATTGTTTGAATTTAAATTCCAGCTTCACTACTTACTAACTGTGACTATGGACAATTCACGTCACTTCATCTGTTAGTGGAGATAACAGTATCCAACCTCATAGGGTTGTTGTAAGGGTATCAGTTAGTATTTGTATCATCTTAGGGCACCTGAGTGGCTTAGTAAGTTGAGTGTCTGACTCTTGATTTCAGCTCAGGTCATGATCCCAGAGTCGAGGCATTGAGCCCTGCATCGGGTTCTGTGCTGAGTGTGGAGCCTACGTAAGATTCCTCTTTCTTTCCCTCTGCCCCTGTCCCCTGCTCACTCGCTCTCTCTCTCTCTCTCTCTCTCAAAATAAATTAAGTAAAAGTATGTATCATCTTTAGAAATGTTTAGCACATAGAAAACTCTTACTGCCTACAAAAATTTAATCTCTTCATCAGACATTTAACATATATCATTTAAGCACCTGCCAGACTCTCAAGTAGTCATTGAGGACTTAGCAGTAAACAGGACAAAATTGCAGCCTTCAGGGAGCTTATGCTCTAGTGGAAAATGCAGAGACGTACACTGCAGTGTGATAAATGTATGACAGGTGTGAGTTCAGGATGCACTAAAGGCCTTATCTTACGGAGTCGGGAAGCTGCAAGGAAGATGTCACATGTAAGCTGAGATTTGAAGGAGGAAAAGGAATTTGCCTGTTGAAATGGGTGGTAAGACAAGGGTAGAAAGTGCGGCTCGATGATGAGCACTAAACTGCAGTTGTAAGAGAGTGGCTCAAGCTGAGACTGAACAGGAAAGCAAGAACTGTGTGCGGTTTGGAAGGCACTCAGGATGAGTCTTCTCAAGTCCTACTGCCTTTCAGCATCTTCACAGACTGCCTCAGCCACTTGTTCTCATTCTTCAGGCTTTCTGTAGTGATTTGACTATAGAGTGTAGGTTTTGCATTGAGAAGAAATTGCATTAAAATAGTTTGGGGAGGTTTGTTTGGGGAAGAAGTAGAGATGGGGGGTGGGGACCAAAGCCTGACATGAATTAGGTTTAAAATTTTGGACTTTTTCCTATGGATGAGTAGAAAACACAAGATATTTAGGATGGGTTCTCTTAGAAAAGGAAAATTCAGAGAGAGTAAGTGCACATGCAAGTTTCTGGAAACTGGGAGATCTATTAAAGATAAAACTTTGAAGGGAAAGCGACGAAACTGAAAGAAGGTAAGCTCCAGATCATAAAATGGAGACTAAGGTGTTTAGACCTTTTTCAGTAAGTAGTTGGAAGTCCTTGATGGATTCCATAAGAGAAGGAATTGGATAACGTTTGCATGTTAGAAGCGAATTTAGCAATTGAAAGAGTAAACTTGAGGGGACCAAGTTTAGAGGCAAGCTAACCAGTTAGGAGCTGCAGTAGTCCAGGTAAAAGGTGACAAACCTAGCAAAGAGCAATAGCAAGAAGAGAAGGAAAAGAGGGGATAAACTTGACAAATATTATTGGAGTCAAAATTGGCTGGACTTGGAGATTTATCAAATGTGGTGAGGGTCTCATAGGAAGTATGAAGAGTCCAAAAAGATTGTCAGAATTCTGGCTAGATACAGGAGCAGTAACAGGAGAGGAGGAAGATTAGTAATAAAATATTGAAAAATCAAGTTCAAGGTGCCTCTGAGACTTGGCCATGGATGTGTACATTGACTGATTAAGGGAAATCCAGGTGTGGTGTCTGTGGACATGGAGTCATTGACACACAGGTGGTGGGGGCTAAAGCGGTAGAAGTGGATGATTATGCAGATAGCAGCTGTTTTCTGGGTGCTAAGCACCATCCTGAATGCTTTACATACATTGTTTCATTTAATTCTTTAAAAAAAAATTTTTAATGTTTGTTTATTTTTGACAGAGAGAGAGAGACAGAGCATGAGTGGGGGAGGGGCAGAGAGAGACAGAGACACAGGATCTGAAGCAGACTCCAGGCTCTTAGCCGTCAGCACAGAGCCTGACACAGGGTTCAAACTCACAAACTGTGACATCATTACCTTAGCTGAAGTTGGTTGATAACCAACTGAGCCACCCAGGTGCCTTCATTTAATTCTTATAACTCTATGAAGCTGTCATTTTACAAAGAAAAAGAAAATATAATATAGGAGAGTTAAGTAGTGTAAGAAACCCCAAAGCTAATAAGTGACAGATCAGGAATGGAACAAACTATCGGACTTGAAACTTGAAATCTTAAAACATTACGCCATGGGTGAATGGAGTGCTCAGGAGAGGACCCTGGGGAGCTTCAGCATTTAAAGGAGGATGGTCACGGGCGGAGCAGCCGGTCTACGCATGTATGTAGATGTGTATGTATACGGAGAAGGAACCAGAGAGGTAGGGATACCAGGAAAGTGTCTGTGACAGAAACCGAAGGAGGAATTACCTTAAGGGACTATTCTGTGTGCCAGAAGCCACAAAGAAGTGACATTTAAAATTTTTCATTGGGCTTAATAATTTGGAATTTACTGGTAACCTTGGGAATTGCTGTTTGAGTGGAGTGGTGGCAGCATAAATGAGAGCATACTTTATATAAATTTCCATCTAATGACTTCTGCTTTCTCTGTGAGAAGGAATGTGATGAGACAAGGGGCTTGACAAGAGTGGTAAAAATTTGAAATCACTCTTACAGCGGATGAGAGAGGATGCTGATTAAGAACATGTGGAAGAACTGTAGCATCGTGTCAAGGACCAGTTGAAGGAGACTAGATTTATATCGTTTCAGTCCTCCTAGGGGTATGATTTTTCTTGAGCACAACAGGAGCAGAAATAAAGGTGTAGTAAAAGTATTTAGTTAGGTTGATCCAGATTTAGGATTTTGTTGAATGCATATACTAGAAAGGCTAAATTAGGGGAGAGGAGGAAAAGAAAATGACGGTTTTGATAAAAGAATGGTTTAAATAATCAAAGACTGTGGAATTGATAGAGAAAAAAATTGAGTTAAAAAAGTGACTGTAAAGTTAGAGAAAATACAGAAGGAACTTAGATCTTGATGAAGTTGATGAACAGATAGAAGGGGAGCCTGAGGGGCGCCTGGGTGGCTCAGTCAGGGTTGAGTGTCCAACTTCTGCTCGGGTCATGATCTCGGGTCATGATCTTGGGTCATGATCTTGCCTTCCATGAGTTCGAGCCCTGCACTGGGCTCTGTGCTGACAGCTCGGAGCCTGGAGCCTGCTTCAGATTCTGTGTCTCCCTCTCGCTCTGACCCTCCCCTGTTCACGCTGTCTGTCTGTCTGTCTCTCTCTCTCAGAAATAAATAAAACATTAAAAAAAAAAAGAGTCTATCTACAGTAATAACGTAGAGAAGGTTAGGCGGTTTGCCTGTGGTCACCATCTGGATGGTTCTAAAGCCCATACTCTTTCCATTAAGCCTGGCGTATTTGCTGTAGGTTGAACTTCAACAGAGTTTATCTTTCGAAATGTTTGGGAGAACAATATCATGTTGGCTTCTCCATAGATAATGAATTTTTTAGTGCCAAACATCTACAAAGTGAAATGGAAACCTACCCAAGGAGCACCTTGAACAGAAAATTAACCTGAAGTAGTCAAGGGTGTTAGGCACCAATTTCAATAAATTGACCCATTAATTCATTTTCCTGTTTATCTGCTAGACACCCATATAATAGTTTACACAGTGTGAGAACACTATTTGGAATAAGTTGATAATTTGATTTGTTTGGTTTAATTTATTGTCTTTTGTCATTTCTAGCTGCCTATCCCCACCGTTTGAATCTCTTTTACCTTGCTAATGATGTCATCCAGAACTGCAAAAGGAAAAACGCAATCATTTTCCGTGAATCATTCGCTGATGTCCTTCCTGAAGCAGCTGCTCTAGTGAAGTAAGTAAATTGTTACTGAATTTTGAGGTCTAAGCTTAGAAAATTTGGGATTTTAGTTCCCCTTTTTACCTGTTAGTAAGAATTGTTAATAGTTCTACATGCTTGAAGCTCCAAGGATATTTGGCTCAAATGGTTCACATAACTTTCCCACTAATACACACATTTTTCTTTTAAACATTCTTTATTGTCTCTCTTTTTTTTTTAATGTTTTTATTTATTTTTGAGAAAGAGAGAGAGAACAATTGAGGAGGGGCAGAGAGAGAGAGGGAGACAGGATCTGAAGTAGGCTCTCTGCTGACAGCTGAGAGCCTGAAGTGGCACTCAAACTCACAAACCCTGAGATCATGACTTGAGCCAAAGTTGGACACTTAACCAACTGAGCCACCAGGTGCCCTTCTTTCTTTGCTTTTTGAGAGCTTCTTTGTTATTTACTCTCTCTTCTCTCCTACCTTGACCATATATATCGCATGGTCATACTCTGGTTGGTAGTACTTTGCAACTGTTTCTTTGGTTTTCGTATTCTTTTTACACATTTTCTTTCTTCTTTCAGAGTCTTCCTGAAATCTTGCCCCCTCTGTGACATCTGTGTAATTAAAGAGATAAGGAAATATTTATTCCCAACCTCATACTGATTTATTCTATCCTTAGGGAAATTGTATGCAGTGTTTCCCAAAGTGCTTGAATACTTTAACATTTAATCTTACTTTTACTCTGTATTAATAGTGTTTTCCTGTGTTTCATCCGTATTTGCAAGTAGTTTATTTGGTTTAAGAGACACACATGCCTAATTGGAGGGTAAATAATTATATGGAACAATCCATATAATTTATACACATGTCACCGTACATAAAATAGGGTGCGTGGTTGTCTCAGTATAGTATGTGATTCTTGATCTCCCATAGTTTGCGTGAAAACAGGTTATAAATTCAAAATTGTTATACAAATGTTATTTAAAAGTCACGGTAACCAACTTTGCAGGGAAGCAGATTGAATTTTATTATTTCTTTTTACAAAATGAGAAAACTGAAGCCCAAAGTAGTTAAGAAATTGTCTAAAATATGGCACAAAAACACTCAGATCAGTGGGACAGAATAGAGAACCCAGAAATGGACCCATAAACGTCTGGCCAACTCATCTTTGACAAAGCAGGAAAGAATATTCAGTGGGAGATAGAGAATCTCTTAAGCAAGTGGTGCTGGGAAAACTGGACCACTTTCTTATACCATACACAAAGATAAACTCAAAATGGATGAAAGACCTAAATGTAAGACAGGAAGCCACCAAAATCCTCAAGGAGAAAGCAGGCAAAAACTTGACTTTGGCCACAGCAGCTTCTTACTCAGCACATCTCTGGAGGCAAGAGAAACCAAAACAAAAATGAACTATTGGGACCTCATCAAAATAAAAAGCTTCTGCACAGTGAAGGAAACGGTAAGCAGCAAAAGGCAGCTGACGGAATGGGAGAAGATATTTGCAAACAACATATCAGATAAAGGGTTATATCCAAAATCTATAAAGAACTTATCAAACTCAGCACCTAAAAAATAAATAATCCAGTGAAGAAATGGAAGACATGAGTAGACACTTCTCCAAAGAAGACATCCAGATGGTCAACAGACACATGAAAAAATCCTCAGCATCACTCATCATCAGGGAAATACAAATCACAACCACACTGAGATACTACCTCACACCTGTCAGAATGTCTAACATTAAAAACTCAGGCCACAACAGAGGTTGGCGATGACACAGAGAAAGAGGATCTCTTTTGCGCTGCTGGAGGAAATGCAAACTGATGCAGCCACTCTGGAAAACAGTATGGAGGTTCCTCAAAAAACTAAAAATAGAACTACCCTACAGCCCAGCAATGGCACTACTAGGTATTTGTTCAAGGGATACAGGTGTGCTGTTTCGAAGGGGCACACGCACCCCAATGTTTATAGCAGCACTATCGACAGTGACCCAAGTATGGAAAGAGCCCAGATGTCCATCAGTGGAGGAATGGATGAAGAAGCTGTCGTATGTATATACAATGGAGTGTTACTCGGCAATCATAAAGAATGAAATCTTGCCATTTGCAACTACGTGGATGGAACTACAGGGTATTATGCTAAACGAAATTAATCAGAGAAAGACGAATATCTTGTGACTTCACTCATATGAGAACTTTAAGATACAAAACAGATGAACATAAGGGAAGGAAAGCAAAAATAATATAAAAACAGGGAGGGGGACAAAACATAAGAGACTCTTAAATATGGAGAACAAACAGAGGGTCATTGGTGGATTTGTGGGGGGGATGGGCTAAATGAGTGAGGGGCATTAAGGAATCTACTGAAATCATTGTTGTGCTATACGCTAACTAACTTGGATGAAAATTTTTAAAAAATAAGTAAAATTCTAAAAAATTACTTCTAGGAAATAAAGATATGTGCCTAGAAATCAAAATAAAGCATGATTTAAAGAAAAAAAACAGAGAGGGAGATGAAACATAAGAGAACATATGGAGAACAAACAGAGGGTTGCTGGAGGGATTGTGGGAGGGGAGATGGGCTAAATGGGTGAGGAGCTTAAGTAATCTATTCCTGAAATCATTGTTGCATCATATGCTGGCTAGGATATAAATTGTAAATTATAAAAAATTAAAATTTGAAATAGGATGGAGTTCTAATATGTGCTACAATGTGGATGAACTTTGAAAACATACTGAAATAAGCCAGACACAAAAGGACAGATGTATAATTGCACTTATTGTAACATATCTAAGGGCACCTGGATGGCTTAGTCAGTTAAGAGAGTTGTGGACGTTGATTGTACAACAGTGTGAATGTCCTTGACACTACTGAACTGCACACTTAAAATGGTTAAGATGAAGGGCACCTGGGTAGCTCAGTTGGTTAAGCGTTCGACTTCGGCTCAGGTTAAGTATCTGACTTGGATCCGTTGTCCCCACCCCCTCTTTGCCCCTCCTCAACTTGTGTGCATGTGTGTGCTCTCTCTCTTAGAAATACACATTAAAGGGGCGCCTGGGTGGCTTAGTCGGTTAAGCGTCCGACTTTCGCTTAGGTCATGATCTCGCGGTTCGTGTTCAAGCCCTGCGTCGGGCTCTGTGCTGACTGCCAGCTCAGAGCCTGGAGCCTATTTCAGTCTGTGACTCCCTCTCTCTGACCCTCCCCTGCTCACGCTGTCTGTCTGTCTGTCTGTCTGTCTCTCTCTCTCCTGGAAATAAATAAAACATTAAAAAAAAAAAAAAGAAACACACATTAAAAAAAAAACATATCTAGAATAAGCATATCCATGGCGACAATAAAGATAAGTTGTTAGGAGCTGGGGGGAAGGAGTAACGGGGAATTAATTGTTTAATAGGTACAGAGTTTCTGATTTTTTGTTTTTTGTTTTTTCCTTAATGTTTATTTTGAGAGAGAGAAAGCATGAGCAGGGGAGAGGCAGAGAGAAAAAGGGGGAGAGAGAGAGAGAGAGAGAGAGAGAATCCCAGGCAGACTCGGTGCTATCAGGCTGTCATCACAGCACCTGAGGTGGGACTTGATTTTACAAACCGTGATATGACCTGAGCCGAAATCAAAAGTTGGACACTCAGCCACTGAGCCACCCAGGTGCCCTTAGAGTTTTTGTTTAGGATGATGAAAAATTTTGGAAATAGATAGTGCTGGTGGTTGTACAACATTGTGAATATAATTAATGCCACTGAGTTACACATTTAAAAAATGGCTAAAACGGCAAGTTTTATTTTACCACAATAAAACAAAAAACAATGCCAAAGAGAAGACAGAAAGACATCGCATATAAAAGCTTACAATTAGATTGACAACAGACTTCTCAATAGGAACTTTGGATGCAGGTGGCAGTTATGAAAAGCATTTTATAGCATTTATAGATACAAAGGAAAACTACTTCCAAGAACCGTTCAGACCATACAAAAATACTCCCAGAGAAACAAAAGCGAGATAATTTACCATCAACAAACTTCTGAGTCACTTTTAGTCTGAGAAGTTAGTCACAGGAGGGATGGTGAGTCGTACCAGCAATAAAATGTATGTGATATTTAGGAATAGCCTTAATAGGATATGTTGAAACCTTTATGAATAAATTCTATTTGGGAATGTTGAATACAAATTCATAAATATTAATGCTTCGCTACAGTGAGGAATAATGTGTTGATAATTCTTCAGTGTTAATGGAGAATACTTTCTCCAAATTAATATAGCAGCATAATATAATTCAAATTAAAAATACCAACACTTTCTCTCTTTTGGAACTTAGCATTACCCTAAATTTACAACCAAGCGAGAATATAAGAAATGTTGTGAGAGCTATAATGACCCTTGAATGACATGGGTTTGACCTGCTTGGGCCCCCTTATACCTGGATAGTGTTCAGTCAGTAAAGTATATAAATGTCTTTCTCTTCATTATGATTATAACATTCTTTCTAGCTTACTTTATTATTTAAAAAAATTTTTTAACATTTATTTATTTTTTGAGAGACAGAGTATGAGCATGAACATGAGCAGGGGAGGGGCAGAGAGAGAGAGGGAGTCACAGATTCTGAAGCAGGCTCCAGGCTCCGAGCTGTCAACACAAAGTCTGACACAGGGTTTGAACTCATTAACTGCAAGATCATGACCTGAGCTGAAGTCAGATGCTTAACCAACTGAGCCACCCAGGGGCCCCTCTAGCTTACTTTATTATAAGAATACAGTATATAATACATAGAACATACAAAATATGTGTTAATTAACTGTATTTGTTATTGGTAAGGCAACAGTAGGCTTTAGTTAATAAGTTTATGGGGAATCAGAACTTACGTGTGGATTCTTAACTGCAGGGATTTGAGTTTGGCACTCCTAATCTCCCCAACTTGTCCAAGGGTCAACTGTATAATGTAAAAATGGATTAACGGAACAGAATTTGCATCCTATGAAAAGTTTAATAATTGAATATATACTAGGAGAAACACAGTAAATCTAAGGAAAAGAGAAG